AACTCCTTATACTAATCTCAGTTTCAAGCTGCACAGACAGCTGTATAGAGACTTCTTCAGGTGGGATGTAGTACAAGATGAAAATTCAAGACAAGTGATATAGTACTGAGAGCGCTGAAGAAGTGGTCTGCCAGCCTTGCAGGTCTAAGGGAACTGTTGGTCAGCTCTTGAAATGACTGAAATGTTTACACTTCCACACTTTAGAAGAAAAGACACAGATTTAGACATTCCTGGAATCTCTGGTCTTACATAAGTGGAGTTGTCCAGTTTATGTTAAGGTAGCTCCTGTTCTTTGGGAGGTACAGAACTAGAGGAGGAAAATAAATAAATAAATTTATCTGGGCTTTTGGAAATCATACTTCACATTGGGAGTTAAATCCAGAATCCCTGGGAAGAAAAAGTTCAATTCCACTGTTCCATAGGCAGAGACTCCAGCACAGTGTCAGAATCGACAGGCATAAGTTTCTGTAGACCATTTTATCTCATACTACGTATTTTCTTGTCCAGTTAAAGGAAATACTGCAAATATGATCAATCAAAGGGCAAAAACCTAACACAGAAAGTGAAATAAACGGATTAGGTGAAGAAAAAAACCCCACTATGATTCCCTCCAGGTTTGCAGTGTTTAAAACAAATGAGGTAAGATTGCCTACCCTTTCCTCTCACTCCATTGCCTTCTTCAGTAATCACTCAAGTTACATCACCGAAACATTAGCTTCCAGATGGAGATATAAATTATTATGACTGCATATCACAGCCTGGTTACTGAATGCCTTGTAACAGCAGAACCATTAATAACAATCCTGACAGGCTGCAGACTGCAACGCTGCAGTCAGCAAAGGCAAGCATGCAATAAAAGGCAAGGTCTTCATAACTTAGATTTGGCCGATTTCAGTGAAAGTCATACTGGGGACAAACTGATTTTATGCTAAGACGACCCATACTTTTAGAGTTTAGTGACAAAAGGGCTATATCCAACTAAAACAATTTCCTCTGAAAATAAAGCAAGGGCCTCTGAAGAACAGAAACACACACAGCCACACTGTGCTTATAGACACTTAAAAGTAGCCGCCACCTAAAAGCAGTTCCCTGTGTAACCAGGGCTGCAGTGAGCTAAAATGCTCACTATAGACTTCACCTATCAACCCTGAGCCGCACATGCTGGCCTCCTCTGCCACCACTGTGCATCCACTGGCAACGTCTCCCTGGCTGTTTGACCTGGCACAGGGAAGCAGTGGCTCTAGTTCCTGTTGTTAGAGAAGGCAGAGCCTCTCAGTGGGGTGGTCTAACCATTGCCTCAAGTCCACGAGGCAAATCTTGCCTTCCTGAGTTTTGAAATACATTCTCCGATAGCTGCTCAGCCAGGACTGGGTGGCCTGAGAGGAAAGCAGTCTTTGCTGGGGAGCAGCAACAGGCAATTAGCTCCTGCAAGCTGCTGCAAGGGCTCAGTGCTACCAGCTGCTGTCCTCTAAACTAGACTTTGCAGAAGATGGGCCTCGGGGTATGCTGTCAGTGCTGGTCACCTCCTGGGAAGCTGCAGTTGGCTTTGGAGGTAAACAGCACTCTCAGCCCAGTGCTGCAAGCGTGGCACAGTGGCTTCTCAGAGGACTGACAGTAATAATTTCTTAGTGCAATCTCTACGACTTTATCGTGCTGTATGTACTGCACATTCCAGGACCAGATTCTGCAAAGAGAAGCCCTGTTGTGGTTAGGTTAAAAATTTGATGCTGAGTGTTCTCCAAAGTCAACCAAGCCATAAAAGAAGAAGGAGACTGAGGTTTCTGTGATGCAGTAAGATGTACATGTTAGCAGGAAAGAGACTACTGTACTTTAATGGATATATGGAGAAGCCAACGAGACCCTGCAGGCCAATATGTTCTAGACGAAATATTATCACAAATGAGGATGTGTTTTTATTCAAAGCACCAGCTGTTTACTTTAGATTTTGGGCAGCTGGGTGGCCACATTTAATGGTTCCCTTACTTTGTTTGGGTTTGCTTTTTCCTATTAACCTTTATGTGTAATTATTAATATAACCTGTTTATGAATTGGAATTCTTTTGCTGCTTGCATTGTAATTGAGATACAAGTCCACGCTCTTATTTGTATTTGCATTAGAACTGAATATTTATCAATTGATTGAGATAAGTGGTTTTTAAGAGGTGCTTAGTTCAAGGCGCCAGGTTTCTTTACCATAAATTAGAATTTACAAAAATAAACAGAGCAGCCATTTTATGAACTAGAAGGACAAATGAAACCTTACTGCAGCTTCTAGTTCCTGCCTCTGTGGCACAAGTCCAGATACACCTCACCTCTCCTTTCCCTAAAGCCCAGGAAAAAAAGATGGTTCGTGCATTAACTATTCAAAGCTCCACTGGGAAGGGGAGCAGGAATTTTTCAGGAATGAAACGACGGCAGCATGTTGTTTACTGAAATACCATCATTAAAAATTACTTGGAGGTTCTGATGAAGCAGGAAAAATTCAACTCCCACCATACCCACACTATATGCACCCATTTTCATATGATTTCTTTCCTCTCTAGTCAAAGGAAAAAGATCAGCTCCTTCAAGAATGATTCAGCACACACAGGTTAGGGTCCACTCCCAACCTATTCTGAAGAACATTTTCTTTCCCTTGACAGCAGAGCCTTAACCAGATCCTAAAAGTTGGAGTAGAGTCACAGTTGGGGAAATCCAAGAACAGAGAATAAGAGAAACCCACTGGTTCACATAATACAGAGAGGACAAAAGGATCCATCACTTCAAGCTCCAGTCCATGTTAATACATTCCATGTTCTTATGGAGCATGCAGAGCGCAATCAAGGATGCAGAATTTCTCTGGAAATCATATTTAAGCTCAAGACTGAAAAGCAGGCATACCCTAGATACAAATGTTAAATCCTTCCTAGGATATCGCAGGGATTATTATTTCGTAGAAATAATAAAGAGAGTTCTATAGCCCCCATGGTGAAGAAAGCCACTTTACCATTTCTCTGGGGTCCAAGTTTTGTATGAGTTGTTCAATGGCTAGAAAAGACAAGTCAATAAATGTGTTCAACTAGGTAGAATAAAAGTATGTTTGCGCAATCCTCCAGTACATTCTTGTATTTTTATCAGGGCTTTCTGGCAATAGCATAAACCCACATAAACAAACAGCTACTGCTCTGATTATATGACTAAGTCCCACAAGACAAAAATACTGCCTTCAATTATTTACACTGAGGGTGCGTTTTATTTTAATGGGGGAGGGGGTGGAGGGTGGAAATGCTTTTCATGTCTGACTTCTAATTCCTCTTGGAAAGGTTGAGATTAGACCATGACAAGTATTGTTATAGAGAAGTGAAGAAAAACATGTTTCCCCCAGAAATGTAAAATGCTATAATACTGTGCTAAACATTTCAACAGGGCAAAATGTTTCTTTTTACAAACATTATTTGCTCAAAGAACACAATATTTTTTAAAAGTTGTTAGACCTCTCTGTAGTGCACAAGCAGAAATGTTCACTTCTGGGATCTGTTCACATGCTGGGTGCTCGCAGGGAGATGACCAGTAGCTTAATTTCACTGGGCTGCATCACCTCTCTGGTGCCACTACTACTCCTTATCATAATTTGGTTTTGTTAATGTTGCTTTAATACTGGCATAAACACCACACCTGTTACTAAAAAGAAGCATGTGAAACAGCTCCACTCTTGCTAATGCATTAAATGTTATAAACATGTGATTTTTACCATGTAATTAGCAAGGTGAGTGTTTTGTATATAACAAAGTAATACACAATTGCTTTGTATACTACACATATGTGACACCAAGAATCATTACCATGTAAGGGAACAAGCCTTCGTAAGGCTTAGGAAGTACAAGGCGGCATCAAAACAAGTATAGCTGTAGCATTAACTACCTTAGATCTCCCTACACTGTCAAGATGTGTAAATAAGAATCAAACTTACCACATAGCAATGCTGGGAAGGTAGGCATCTTAAAACTGAATGAGTAGAAGCTTAGCTACTTAGCTTTTAGTTTGAAGAACATGGATTTTCAAGAACTACAGGTTCAAATACCAGTGTATCAATTCCCACTTTAATGCCTCCAGTTATGAAAACAGAATACTAAGCAGTGTAAGATGGGTATTTATATTAAAAGATCACTTAAAATATCTTTCTTTTGAAAGTATCTTTTTTTATTTAACTCCAACACATGTACAGAAAACTAACACTCTATAGCTGCTTAAAAATCTACATTAAATACATACATTTCTATTATTATCTGTAAATTTTATAATTTAGTAAGACTAAAGGGACAGTGCTTTGTGACTGGGTTACCCCTTCTTTTTCAACAGCTGGCAAGATGTCCTAGATCCAGCAACAATGAAATACACAGCTGTCTCCAGGCATTCTGAGTGGACGGCGCTTAACACTGCAGTACAGCAAAAACTGATTGTACTGTTATTCTGGAAAGTATTTTGACATTTACGACCAGCTGCAGTCCAACAGAAACTGTGAGAACCATCCAATTTTTTCTTTTGCATATGATAAGGATTCATTGTTTAGAAGTGATAACTGGTGCCTGTAGTGCAGTTTTGTGACAGCTATGCATTGCATTGATACCAGGTCATGATCGGATGCTAAGGATCAAACCATGTACTTACTCATACACAAGCAATGGGACATCACTCTTACTCTGGTTGTGACAACGTCACGTTTGATGCCAAATACTTTTCCACAACTGTCTTTGGCCAGAAGATCAAAAATTTCATTATTATACACTTCTACAACAGAAACCTCAACCCAGCAACTTCCTGGTGGCTTCTCTGAAATAAGCCTGGAGAAAGAAAAAAGAAAAAAAAGAAAAAAAAGAGAGAGAGAAAGAAAAACACCAAAAGAATGAAAAGTAAAACCCCAAGTGAACAATCTGTAAATAAAGATCTGTTCTTTCATTGTAATCTAATTACGATCTGGTAAAAGTGCTTATTAAATATCCACTGTGGCTAATATTAATCTGAAGAATCAGAATATACAGTTAAATTATATGTGAAGCAACAAATAAAACTTCATTTTCTAAATAGTTGTGCCAGCTTAAATTGTTTTTCTCCACTAATCTCCCTCCTTAAGATTTTTTATACCATTACTCTGCAGGACACTACTGGATTCAGAGCTCAAGGCATGATAAACTCCAGCAGAGTGCAAGCAACAAACAGGCAGAGATGGTAAACTGTCCAGCTAGACCTGTAAGAGGTCCACAGCACTAAGGGTTTGTCTATTCAGCTAGACACAGTTATTCTGGTACAAAATTGGATCTTTTTTAATTTAGCTTATACCCTTCTCCAAAAGAAGTGGGCTTAGCTGGAAAAACCTCTAACGGCTCTTCTATTATAACATAGCAGCGTATCAGTTCAACTGATGCATTAGGTTCAACTGAAAAATCTAAGGATTCTCAAAGTGAGAACAGATCATGGTTAAAAATTCTACTGTCATTCTTCTTTGGGACTGAGTTCTAATCTGGATCCTCTTAATCTATCCCAATTGTCAATTTTTACAAAACTGGTAGGAACTTAATTATGGTTGAAACATATTCAAAAGTTAATTAGGAGTCTGAAACACAGGTGGACTGATAACACACATCAATACTGAATAATCTTATTTTCTTAGAAAATTAATCTAAGCAAGAGACTAGAAATCTGTATCAAAACTCACATATTGAATGGCAGTCAGAGAAGCTATAAATATTTATCATTGTGAAGCTGAAATCTGTAATGATAAATACATCACAAACATTATTTCATCCTATATGTAAAGTTTAAGGTGACTGCCACTGGCATGAGCCTTTGCTTAGTTGTTACCTGAACACTTCTTGGGCAGCTCGAGGAATAATTCCAAGTTCTGATTCATCTTCTATGGAGAAGGCAAAGTTCCCCTCTAACTGTGGTCCCAACATTGTGTATGTCTTCCCACTTCCAGTCTGCCCATAAGCCATGATACACACATTGTACCTGAAAGTTAAAAGGGCCTTCATTTATTTTACCATTACCAAATGTGTTTGTTAGGTGGCAAGTAAAACCCCAAACAATTTGGGAACACAAACTGAAACAAAAAAGAAATACATTGCCACAGATTTCTTTCTGGAGATCTCAAAAATGAACAGAAATTAAAGTATTGCTCATAACATCGGCTAAATAGATTTTTACTTTTTAAGCAGAGTTGAAGGACAGGGAAGAGGAATACTTAGTCTGGAATGACTGATAAGGTCAGACCTCCTGTCTGCCTAACTTCCAGTTCATGCACTACCAAGCTGCTTGTTAATCAGCTCCTGAACCACTGCAGTTTACAGTACAGCATTTTAAAGTAAACCGTGGCTGGGGTTGATTTGTCTTACAGTGCTGTGCTGCAAACCACAGCGCTAATATCTTAACAGCTGGGAACAGTAAACTCTTCAGCTTTCCCAGTCTTTTCAGGCAGGCTCATAAATCATAGCCCTCAGGCACTGGAAAAGATAAGACAGCCGTCACAATAAGAGGTACAAATTTTAAACCAAATGCATTAGTTCAGTATAAGCATGCACATGAAGACTGCTCTGGAATAAAGGTGGTAGGAACTGCTCTGATACGGACTTGTAGAAGGTGAAAAAGTTCAATGTCACTGCAGAGGTAAAGGCACCTATGAAGTGCAATTCATCATCATCTGCAGTAGACACGTGAAATACATCTCATGAACAGAACTCTGAAAACGCCTGTTTCTCTGCACTGAAAATAATTATTTTTAAGTCCACAGCTGTGAGCTCTGTTGTGGATGTCTCTGCTGCTGGGATCTGAATTTAGATCACACACAGAATCACACAGAATCGCTCGGTTGGAAAAGACCTCTGAGATCATCACGTCCAACCGTTCCTGCCTACCCCCTAAGCCATATCCTTAAGTACCTCATCTACCCGCTCCTTAAATAAATCCAGGGATGGTGACTCCACCACCTCCCTGGGCAGCCTGTTCCAACCTCTGACGGCCCTCTCAGTAAAGAACTTCCTCCTTATCTCTAACCTGAACCTCCCTTGGCACAGCTTGGTGCCGTTACCCCTTGTTCTATCCTCCATCACCTGGGAGAAAAGACCAGCACCCACCTCTCTACAACCTCCCTTTAGGTAGTTGTAGGTGGTGATGAGGTCTCCCCTCAGCCTTCTCTTCTTCTCCAGGCTAAACAACCCCAGTTCCCTCAGCTGCTCCTCATAAGGCTTGTTCTCCAGACCCCTCACCATCCTTGTGGCTCTTCTCTGAACACGCTCCAGAATCTCAACATCCTTCTTCTAGTGAGGGGCCCAGAACTGAACACAGTACTCGAGGTGCGGTCTCACCAGTGCCAAGTACAGGGGGATAATCACCTCCTTGGACCAGCTGGTCACACTGTTTTTAATACAGATGTATGAACCCTATCCAGAAAACGCGTTTCTAACACAGTTGGATCAAAGTCAACATCTTAAGGAAAACAAGTGGGTGGATACAATTGTATCCAGCCACAGAACGACTTTGTATTGAGGACAAATACCCCACCATGTAGCTGAAGGTTAGACCCTGCTTGGCTGTGTCTGCTCTGCAGCCCCCGTCAGCACCTTGGTGTTGACCACAGAACTGTGCCAGCAAAAACTTCTGGAAGACGTGGTTATGCTGACAGGACTGCTCCTTCCCTGGACTACACCTTGTTTGTTCAGAGACACAGCATTAGCAGAAACTCCATACACAAGGAGTGCTTTGCAGTACACTGCAATTTCTGCCCTACTAGAGAGTTAAAAGAATGGGTTTGCTTCTGGTCTGCCAGGGAGGAAAATTTCACTGCCTAAGCCACCTCCTCTCTGGGCAGACCTGAGCAGCTGCTTTTGGTTATCTGATGCTTTTCCTCATATCAAAAATGTTGTTTCAAGCACATGCTGGCAAATTTCAATGAATACCCCTCAACTAATTGTTTTAAATTTATGGTTACAAGTCATAAAATACTTACATGGCCACTGCAAAGAAAAATATTTGCAGAGATTTTTCTGCATACTAAACATGCCTAGAAACAATTTTTGGAGGATTATTTAGAAAGCCTTCTCTTGTTAGAAAGAAACATGGGCTGATAAGCAACATGTCAAATACCCAGATACCCCTTCTGGGAATGCAAAGTCAAAGTTGCAGTCAGTGAGCCTACAGTAAGGTCCTTCTACATTTCAGGATGCAGAGTATAAAACAGAAGTCTAGTCACAGATTTGGTGATGTAAAGGAGATGAGATAACCATAACTGAAAATAAAGAGCACTACAGCAAAATCAAATGTACTAAAAATTAGGGCTGTAAATCTGAAACAAGGGATTTCTGTAAGTATTCACTGCTAACGTACCTCTACATGCATTATGTCAGTGGAAAAACTCCTACTAATTTTTGGTAGTTTTCAGCTAGGTTAACAACAAGCAATTTTCATGATTCCACCCCTAGCACACATTGCGTCACCAGCCCATCACTTATTGAGACTTGTAGCCCTGCTTCAAAATCAGAGAGATCTTTGGAACCAAAAAGGGAGCCAGAAGTTTACAAGTAGTAGTTTTCCTTAAGAAAAATAGAATGGAAATCTGTTTAGAGTCTATCAAACTTTCATATAGTTGAGCTATTCGAGTTTTCCTTAATTGCTACTCTTCAGAAGGTAAGCATCATGGACAAAATAGTTCTGACAAGATACAGATATGATCAGAAGCTAAGTAGACAGGTGCTTGTAACATTGAAGATAGAGATGCAAAGCAGGTATCAATCAGTGATAACTTCTGCCAAAGCCAAAACAGTATTTCAGTAAGCCAACTATCCAAAACAGTATTATAACTAAGTAGACACATGAGAGAATGAATTGTTGGGTAATTCAACAAGACAAGCAGCAGCAGCAGACTAGTTTATCTTCACCTTCATTGGCGTTCTGGTTCCAATGTAAGGGTTTCAGGTACAGCCATCTGAGAATTTCAGACTATGATTTACTTATGTGCCCTGACATTTCTCCTTCTCCACACTGCTTCATTAGTTATATTTTTATTTAGAAAAGTTCTATTGCCAAGCTAGAATACCAATAGTTTCAGTGTTTCTCTCCTGAAAAGAGAGAAATGGGTATTCAGTATAGCAAAGTTATCACTAGGAGTGAACACTGTTAAAGGAAATCAAAGGAGGAGAAATGTATTCTTCTTTACAATAAACGAACAAGTTTGACTCTTCAGTGCTGTAAAGAAAAGAAACGTTATCTTACTCCCTTGCTGGCCCTGTATGGATAACGGTGAACTTTGAAGCCTACTGTAGTTTGCCTGTTTTGCATATGGAACAATCTTTTCTTCCTGTATATTTATACTGAAAATGAAACAATTCATTAAGAAAGAAAAATAAAGAAAAAATAAAGGAGCAGAACACTCCTTTCTACTGAAGCTAAAAGTTGTTACAGATCACTTTGAAGCTCAGACTGAAACAACCAGGAGCAGCAAAAAGGTTGAAGGTTCAGACTAAGTATGTCTGTTTTCCATTTACAATGGGAAGGGCTGCTGAGAAACATGGCTCGTACGCACAACCTCGCCTTCCCTGAAAATCTGCTTCTGTTTAAATGGCACTTCTGGCAGAACAAGGTAATTCTTTTGTTTCTCATAACAGAACATTTCCTAACCGAATTAAAAAAATCTTAGCTTTTAGGACAGGATTCTCTCAATGCAGAAATGAGAAAGTGTGAAGTACAGCAGACCAAGGTACAGATCAGAGATGTCTAAAGACACAGAGGCAACATACTAAGCCAAAGTAAACAGGTTCACTGCAAAAGGGAAAGCAGAGAGAGAAAAAAGTGGTTATAAGGAGGACTTCTTCACACTCCTCCAGCCTAGTGGACCCTAGGTTTCTCAGCTACAGAAACTGGTTACTCATCCTTGGTAAATTAGAATAATGCCATGTGGGCCGTATAGGACTTCTCTCAACCCAGGCAGCCCTTGTGGACCCCTCTGTGGCATGTATAAAGGGATGGCTGAGATTTCCTAATATTCACAATATCCTGATATACCTGTTGGAGGCTTTTTTTAAGAAAAGGAAACTTAGAGACTTCAGTTTGCAGACTGCTGGGAACAAGGATTGCCACTGTTCAACTATGCCACTGTGGATGGAAAGGGATCGGCTTTCCCTCTGCAGAGAGGGAAAGATCCACCACAGCTCTACAGAAACCACCTATAATTTAGTAGAATTATAGGTAAGAAAGGGGTGGAAGGGAAGTTCTCCATAAATCTCAGTTCAAGCCTCAAGGATTATAACAATATGAACTTCAAGGCTTCTTGGCAAGAGTAGCTTAAGTTGGTTCTAACATAAATGAAGAATCACACTTCATGAACTTAGTGGCTAGAAGTAATTACACTTATTTGTGAGTGGTTCTTACTGGTCAGTCTTGTATTCAAACCAGAATTGTGTTTTAAGCCCAGTGCCTGAAGGACTGTTAGAGCTATGGCTGAGGCTGCTCAGTTCTGGTTCAACAAGGAATCAACCACACCACCTCCTATGGACTGTGCTATACACAAAAACTGAACAGATGATCAGAGAGTGACATACATATATGTGTGTGTATATGTTTATTTATTTATTTATCATACATTTCATATATGAACATACTGCTGGAAATAGATGTATCATACTGTGTCTACAACTGAAAAAGTTATAAAACATAAGCTGCCAAATCACAAAAAAGATAGTATCTTCTGTTAGAAGCAATGCTTATGTTTGCCAGAAAGAGACTAGAGAAAAAAAACAACTTTTTTTTTTCCAAATTTGCCTGCTCTGCTAAATTTTGTAAACAGTGTTTTCACTGTTTACATGGGAAAACATTCACTTGGTCTTGAGTAGAAAGAGAACAGGAAAACGCAACTGCAAAGCCACAAAATTTGACAGAATCGCAACTACTAAGACTTTTTTTTAATTGATGGACTTCAGTAGATTATTGCCCTTTACCTTTCTTACTTCCACCTTTTAACTTACCCATCCAGGAGAGATGTTAGCAAAGGGGCCACATCTGCAAATACTGTGTCTTGAGACTCCGAAGCGTTGTAAACTCTGAAGAGCAAAATGCAATGATTAACTGAAGAAAAAATATAAATATGTTTTCACAATGTAAGAATATAAACTAGGAAAAATGTAGGCCAGTGACATAAAACTTGTGACCTGCTGACTTTTCTATGTCTGGGGACTGACAATTAGAACTCCAAGGTCCTCGCTCACATTTTGGGAGTGGCTGTTGTCTGTGCTGGAGGGAATGACCTGCATGTGTACACCTGTGGCTCTCTCCTCACACTTCTGCCTGCCTCTCTGGCAGACAATATCCATTTTAAGGCTGTACTGGATCCCTATTGCTTCCTCCCACCTACCAGACTGTGAAACATCCCTGCTGCCTCTGGCTCCTTTATATCACACTAAGGGAGGAAGTGGTCAGGTTGTGCATCCCTTTAGATGTAGATAAGGTTTGGATAAAAACCAACAACTTGCCTTGGGACTTGTCTCAGAAGAATCACCGACAAAGCAGAAATCAGAAGGGCCCTGAGGGTCGTGTTTAAGGATGCACTGTTTCTGTGGGCAGCATCAGCCTAAGGTATTTCCATCCCCA